GCGACGTGCCTTGTTGATTCAACCCAGGCAGCCCTGTTGCAAATCAAGTTTGATCTAAGTATCCAGAGACTAATTTGAAAAGAATCCTAAACACGGGTTCTAATCTTATGCACGAACTAGATGATACCCTGCGCGTTACGGCGGGAATATGTTGCAATATATTTTTAATAAGATTTGATTATACAAAACATTTGGATTAATACTATATCAAAAAACTAAAATTATATATTGTATTGGATTATTGTATACTTGAAAATATTTATTGAATATAGGTTGTATAATATAACAAAACTCTTTCCATGCATGTTGGGTGGGTCTTTGATGAGGTGACATGTGTGCATGTTAAAATAAATAGAATTAATGTAGTCCAATCAATAATGAAAAATAATTCTTATGCATGTTGTAGTGGACCTTTGTTTGACATGTATGCATGTTAAATAATATAAATAGTGTGGATAAACTATTTAGATATATAGAATACCTTACCATAGTACTATTATTATTAGTAGCTAGCCTTCTACGCTCTGACAGGTTGAGTTATACTCTTGTCTTTCTATAAATTCAGCTCCATGTTGGACGTGATGTATCTACTCGTGAGCTCATATGTTTCAGGATGAACAATAAATTCAAAAAAAGTCAAAAAAATCTGATTTTATTTTTGGAATACTTGAAGTAATGTTTTGAGCGCTTATAAAATTTCATCATGAAATCACATTCGTGAAAGTCGTGACAGAGAAGACAAAATCAACGTTCTAGAAATGGTACTTTCAAACGCGTTTTGGAGCTATGATTTCTTTTTGCCACGATTTCCACCAATGTGATTTCATGATGAAACTTTGCAAGCTATCTAAACTTTTCTTAAAGTTTTCCACACACTAGAATTTTTAGAATATGATTTCTAATTTACTGTTCATGCTAAGACCATTCAAGCTCAAGTTGAGGAAGGTACTCTCACTTCTTCTTAATCAATAAAAATGACAAGTCTTATGCCTTGTTTAAAAAAGGTACTTGCACTCCATATTCCACTACTCTGCAGTTGACAATCCAGTATTTACGCAACGAGAGTAATGGCGAGAGGGCGCCATCTGAACCCATGGGCATATGCACCCATTTTCCAAAAAGTGTATTTTAAGCACGTTTTAAAATGTCAAAAAAATCAAAAGAAAATGTCATGCATACATGTTTGAAAATGTGTGTACGCGGTACAAAGTTTTATGAAAAAATGTCTTTTTCTTTTGCCTTCGCAAAAAAGACAAATTCCAGTGCTTCTAAATAATGTTCCACGACATAATTTTTTGTCTTTTTTGCACAGGCCACAATGAAAGTTATTTTTCCGTGAAACTTTATGCACGCACATAGAACATGTAGACATACCCGCGTAATTTTTTTCAGATTTTTTTAAAATTTAAAAATATATTTTTCAAAATGGATTCATATGTATCCGGATTCATCCATGCACTTCATGGCCCGCTTTTCATCACGTCGTTGGTGGAGTCAACTTGTACCAACGGAAGCCTGCATGCTTCATTTATTAACCGGCAATCCACAAGCCTGCCAAGTCCACCGGGCGGGGCGCGTTTGCTCTGTTCCGTCAGTCTCACAGAACGAACAGCAACACGTACATGCCGCGCCCGGCCCGCCCAACACGACTTGTGCAAAATCCACCGTAGTATAACAAGACGAGACCACGCCATCTGGCGACGGACCAGACGACCCTCCCATACCTGCTTGCTCGGGTCTTTGGTCCACAGTTCCATTCCACGTACGCCATGGCGACCGTCGGGTTCGGGCCGTACAGCGTCGCCACAGCGGGCGAGAAGAATGAGCCGACGAGGCCGCTCGCCTGCCCGTCCCCGTCCGTCCACCCGGCGACCGATGTGGACATCGAGGTCCAGCATGCCGCCGCGACCACCGCCAAGCGCCCGCGCTCCACGGGGTGCCTCCGCGGCCGCCGGTCCGTGCTCTGCTGCGGCGGCTGCTGCATGGCCTCCGTGGTCATCGCCGGGATCGTCGCCCTCGTGCTCGCCCTCACCGTGTTCAAGGTCAAGGACCCCGTCTTCACCATGAACCGCGTCACCCTGGAGGACGTCGACGGCGACTTCCTCGGCGCGGACGAGCGGCACCCGGTGTCCGTCAACGCCACGCTCAACGCCGACATCTCCATCAAGAACCCGAACGTGGCCTCGTTTAGCTACGACCGGAGCGAGACGAACTTCTACTACAAGGGGGAGACGGTCGGCGTGGCGTACGCCCCCGACGGCGAGGTCGGCGCCGACCGGACCGTGCGGATGAACGTCACGCTCGACGCGCTCGCCGACCGGATCTCCCCCAACGTCAACGTCACCGACCTCATCTTCGGCCAGAGCCAGGACTACGACCTCACCAGCTACACGGAGATCAGCGGGAGAGTGAGCGTGCTGGGGATCTACAAGAGGGACCTCGACATCAAGGTGAACTGCTCCATTACCTTGGAGGTCAGCGCCTTTAGCTCAGTGCGGAGTAAAACTACGGACTGCGTTGCAAACGTGAAGTAACCGATCATTGCTTATCAGGGGCAGGACGCCCCTTCTGTTTCTTTTTGTTCTCTATATATCCTCCCTTTCTTTTTCTTCACACTGTTTTGAGATGGATCCTCCTTTTCTTGGACCTATGTATCGTTATGTAATTATTATTATTATTAGTTACCTTTTAGGGGATTTTCATATAATTATATCAGGGTGTTCCACTTCATGAAAGGATAGAAATCAGTTGCTTAGGCCAGTTATTGTTCACTTGACAGAACAAGAGCAAAGCTACAAAATCGATTTCTAGACAGACTGGTAGGTTAACAACCTTGTTTTTGTAGTCCTTTTGCTGACGCATGCTCTTTCTAGTATTTTCTCGCTTCATCTGCGCCATCTCTCATGAACAGTAACCTTTTTTTATCGTGACTCTCGGATCACAAGAATTTACAAAAAGCATTGAGGTCGCGTATCGAGGTAGTGTTGAAAGATTAGATAAGTCACGGCTAAAAAAAGAGATAAACCATGCGGAAGGCATGGTGATGTACTATTTCAAGACTCAAACAAATGTGACAAGATTTCAAATAAAACATGGGGAGTTGTTAGACGTTGGGTTTTGTGATGTGTTTGATTAGCACGGAGCCGCCTCCCTTAAGAAAAAGCCAAGAGTTCCTCAACATCCCACTGGCGCCAGCGCCGGTCCGCCTCGTCTTTGGTGACCCTAGAGCCATGGCGGCGCAGTGGATCTCAAGCTTTATCAGCGGGTGGGCTCTATTTTTAGATATTCTTTTGAGTTTTGTTAGGGTTTTGTCCTCCTCAGGAAGACAAGACGGGGACGGCTTCCTGAAGATGAAATAAGGTTTTCCCCATCTAGCCCTCGTCTCGGTGGTGTGTCTGGCGTCGTCGGTGGACCTGTGGAGGTGTGTCTCCGACAAATATGTTCTTGGTGGATTTGCACGGATCTGTTCGTAATTCGGCTACGTTCCTGTGTCTTCAAATTGGATCTTTCCGATCTACGATTCTCTTCATCAGCGGCGGTTGTTGTTCTGCTGCGTTGGTCCCATGGGGCTTTAGCATGATGACTTCGTGGCTGTCTACTACAACAAGATTTGCCCGACTCCAACAAGGGAGGGGCGATGAGGGCGACACGTCTTTGACTCGCTCTAGTGTTTGTAGTCATCGCTAGGTGGTCTACGGATCTGGATGCAATTTTTATTATTTCTGGCGTTCGTTACATCCATGATTGGAGATGAATAGATTGAAAGTTTTCTCGCAAAAGGGTGAAATTAGTTGCTTGATAGCTTGGCGTATCGAATGAGTCCCTTCAAACTGGCTAGGAATGTCGCCTTTTCTAAATGTAAAAAGTGGTTTCCCTCAATTTCTATTAATAGAAACTGCAGTTATAGGCGCCGGTCCATCGGCTAAAATTTCGGCCGGCCGGCGCGCAGCCATCCGATTTCGTCCACGTGAGTCGTTAGATTGCATCTTCCACCTCCGTTTTTAGCTCCCCCTCCCCTAGTGCGGCAGCACACAACACCTCCAGCGCGTCCTTCCCTCGTTGTCGTGTAACCTCACCTCCTCCAGTCCCCCTGCCCCGCCGACGCGGTGGCCCGCACATACAACAGACCCGTCCTCCATCCTTGCACACCTTGCTCTCGAGCTCCTAGCACCGCTAGACGCCAGTTTTGCGGCAACGCTGCTGGATGCTGCTCCGCCAGTGTCAGGTTGTAGATCCCTTCACAAACGGTTTCCAGCTCGCCGTAGTAGGTGTCGCTAGATGCAGCTCTCAACCTCTTGTCACCGGCAGGTTGCAGGTCAATGTAGGCCATCGCCACTAGCATGCAGCTCCCATCCGTCAGTTGCAGCTCCCATGGTTGCCTGTTGCAGCTTTGTATTGCTCGGTTGTAGCAAAAAACAATCATTGGTGGTAGCATCCGCGACCACCATTCCATCGATCATAGAAAAACTGGATATAGCATTCCCTACCACCAATTCTAACCCCCGCCACCACCGGATGCAGCATTTTGCAGCTCCCATGGCCGCATGTTTCAGCTTTGTATTGCTCGATTGTAGCAAAACTAGTCACCGCTGGTAGCACCCCCGACCACTAGTCCACCGATCGTAGTAAAAATCGGATGCAACATTCTCGACCACCGGTTCCAGCACCCGCCATCACCAGATGCAACATTATAAAGCTCCCGTCGCCCCCGTTGCAGCTTTGTATTGCTGGGTTGTAGAAAAACCAAACACCGGTGGTAGCATCCCCGTCGTGGGGAGCACGCGAGTGACGTGGTCGCGTCATCTCCACCAGGAGGTCACAGCTTCTTCGTTCGACGGTTGCAAACAACCTCTCTGTCATCCCGCATCCCAGTGTCTTCATCGTTGGCTTGCAGCATCGCCCAAAGTGGATTCTATGGCTTGGTGTGTAGAGGTAGGGGATGCTTAGAGAGAGAGAGAGAGGTGCGGGCGACATAATGTGTGGCGGGAAAGTAGGGAAGGAAGGGAAGGAACGTGGGGCTTTGGATAAGATGATGGAAGACGTCACTAGGGGCCACTAGTGAACGTGCATGTGCGGGGGATCGAGGGCGATCTAACAGGGCGATCCGACGGACAGCACATGTCCGGCACAAACACTTCAGTCGGCAGGCCGACCACAAACGTTTCCCTAATAGAAACCATCACTACAACCAAAGAAAACATAAAGCGAACTACAAAGTGCTAGACTAACTGCATAAGAACACCACAAAAGGAAGTGACCTAGAAAGTAAGGATGCAACCCCTCTCCGATCACAGTTCAACCAAAGTTCCATCCAACAATATATTGAACAACAAGGTAACAAGACTTAAAATTGACTATATTACAACAACATATAAGGGAGTAGCATTTTCAAACTACTGCATATTAGAAAAAGGGAAACGTGAGACTAGACCAAATATAAAACAACTCAAACAGGGAGCAAACAAATGAGAATCTTCACAACAGAATATCATATGGCACCGAGACAGGGTCCCCTAGACCAGTGGCGGCGCCAGGCCCCAAGCAGCCTGGGGCGCTGCTTGGGGCGTGATGGCCAATTCCTTTGATAACTATAGCAGTACTGTGGTCATAGTGCTACAGTCACACAAAGGCTACCCAGGGCCTGGGCATTTCCTGGTTCCGCTACTGCCCTAGATAGCCTTCCCTTTTTCCTTCAGCCACCTATGAAATGAAGAACTCTAGGGTGCCAACCTCTACTCGCATTGAAAGTTTCACTTGCTACTTCTGTCCGAGCAATTTTACCCCCCTATCAGTTCTCTTTGCCTTTCCTAGTTTGTCTACAAGATTGAACAAGATTTAATCACAACACAAGATCTATGAAGAATCACAAAAGGATCCAACACCCTCTTGCATTCAAAGCATATTTCGTTAATGCAATTCCAAATAGACCATATGACGACAGATATGCCAACTGAAAGCATCAATTTCTTTTTGTTTACCATATTGAGCAATCCAAGAAGTAAAAAGAGTTTTCATATTATTGGGAGGATGTTCAGATTGAAAGTACATCTTAACATGGTCGACATGAACTTAGCTCTACTTAACAATCAATCAACAAATGATCAATTGATACTTCCTTACCACAGAAAATGCATCTATTATTACCAGCCCAACCTCTTTTTAGCGGGCTGTGTTTTGTAAGAATATTGTTTCTCAAAGTGACACATAGAGAAGTTTGATTTTTGGTGGAGTTTTAACTTACCATGAAAACCTAGAAGGATAATATAACTCATTCATGATCAATTGATTATAAAAGGATTTCATAGTAAATTTGCCATCATTACTGAATGGCCAAGTAATGCTATCTTTGTTCTCATCTAGACTAATATCAAAACAAGCACTCTTAATCTCATTCCACTACATCAGGGTGCCTTCCCATTGGGTCCTCCTAAAAGTAAAATGATTCCAGCCTTTTTCAGAAACCTCAGCCATAGTAATGTTCCTAGTGAAGCAGAGAGATTATAGTCTAGGATAGTAAATATGCAAAGGTTTATCATCAATCCACCAGTCCTCCCAAAGATGACCATTGGCTCCATTTTCTGCGTTCTTCTTAACATATTTGTAAAACAAGAACCTTACAAACAAAATACCATATCAAAATTGAGAATCTCCTTGTTTATGCTTTATCCCAGAAAGATAGGTACCTTTTAATATATATTCAACAACATGGATTACCATTGGCATTCCCCTGTTTCTAATTTGCAAATCCATTTAGCTAATAAGGCTTTGCTAAAAATATCCAAATTGGCTATCCCTAACCCCCCTTGCTTCTTGGGTTGACTACTCAACCCATTCAACAAGATGATATTTCTTTTTATCTTTATATCCCTACCAAGCAATCCTATCTCTAAAGAAGTCATTACTCTTTCTCACTCCAACAAGGATGGGGTAAATGGACATCATGAACATAGGTAGGCTGCTCAAACTTGACTGTACTAAATAAAGCTTGCCATCAACGCTTAGCATCTTAACTTGCCAGAAAGCACATTTATTTTAATCTTATTTTCAACATGCTTCCAATCTTTATTTCTTATTCTCACCTTATTGAGTGGAATCCCCGGATATTTCATCGGTAGTTCCCCAATTGGCAGGTAACGATTTTCCTATATTCCTCTCCTCTATTCACAACATCTCCAAATAAGAATCGTAGTTGTATGGTTGTTCAAATCCTAGTTGTAATCCTTCTTGAAATTCATTTTGGATATCTATGTTGAAATCCTAGTTCAAATCCAAGTAGAAATATGAGTTCAAAAAACTTTCATTGTTGGAGAGGAATATGTCTTCTAGCCATTGGTAAACAAGTCCCACATGAATACAATTTATTAAGTACAATTCTATAGCGAATCTAACTTTTTACAAAGTCGCGGCATCCTTCATATCCATATAGAGCATCCTTTATATGTGTTATGGAGGCTGGCAGAATGAAGGTCAAGTCCCTGCTAGAATTTCTCTAAGAGCTCTCAGTATAGATATACCAAGGATAAGATAACCAAGT